ATGCATGAAGAAAGAGAAAAAAAAGAATGAATGAGAAAATTAGAGAAAGACGAAGCGAGAAAATAAACTAAAAAAAAAAATTTTTTCGAAGCAGCTTGAGCAATATTTTAAGCGATTTAGTGCAAAATGAATTTTGTGATAACATAAAGAACATTTCTAAATATGTGACATGATGATAGAGAGCTTTCTCGAAGACTTTATATTTTCAGTTAGAAATAAGATTTCATCTATGTTCATAATTCAAAGTTTTTACAACGAGTCGTGTAACATATCATCCATAAAATTATGTCAATATTACAGATTTCATTCTGTTTTTCTGTTTTTTGTTTTAATTTCATTTACTAGAGAAATATTCTACCTGCGCCAAGTATTTTACGAATTTCCACATTATTATGCAATATTTAGGACAATATTGCGCAAATAAGTAACCTACATTTCACTCTCCATCCATTGAGTCAAATGAAGCTATGAGCTCAGTCACGAAATGTAAAGCTTATTTATAATCGATTCCCCTTGCAATAAGTTGTATATATTGTTCATCACTTTATCCAAAGGTGCTCACTAAATCACTAAATTTGTTGCGTTGTGTTATATCTCTTGTTGTCGAGAATTTGTCATTCTTGAAATTTCCTTTCACCTGTAAAAAAATCATTTATTTAACAAGTATTGTATTATGAATTTCTTCAAATTTGTTGAATCTATTTCTTCATTCATCTATGCCATTATTCAATTCAACATTTATTGATTTACAATAAGGGATACGATAATACTGTATCTAAGAAATTTTAAGAGAAAAGTGTTCAACAATTTCATTGATTAATATTACGATTCATTGTTGCAACCAATTTTATACCCGAAACCTAAGTCAAACCTTTCCTTCTGCACATATTCTCATTGACTAGATGTTCCCGAATCGCGCCAGTCATCTTTGTCTCTACGAAAAAAATATGCTTATATAAAAATAATGTTTTTACAATAATTATATGATAATATTCTTATCCATAATTATTTTTATTATTGATTTAATAGAAAAAATTTACTGAATGATTTAAGTTTTTTTGTTGTATCATTATTTGTTATTGTTACCTTGATTGTTGTTCTTCTGAAGATACAGTGCTCCCATTTGTACTGAAAATTAACAGTATGTATTGTATTCACTACAGAAGTATTAATCATGTGAAAATTTACTTTTTCTTAACTGCAAAGTCATCCCATTCACTAAGATCATATTTAGATAAATCACCATCTTCTTCATCATCTTCTTCTTCTTCATCTTCATCCTAAAATTTAAATATATATATATATATATATATATATATATATATATATATACATATACTATACGTATATAATATTTTCAATTTTCGCTAAAAGAATATTCAATTACATTTTGATCTTCTTCTACTTCGTTTCTATCATCTTCATCTTTAGACTTATTACGTGGTGGACTGTTATACCTAGAATCTTTGGAATCGTCATCTGAACGGTTTTCAATTTTTCGTTTCTTTCTACGACGTCCAAATTCATCGTATTCGTCATCATCGTCTCTCCTTTCTTTATATTCAACAACTCCTCGATCATTGTATCCTCCTCCGTATCCCGTACGTTCTTCAATTTCTCCAAATTTTGGTGCATTACACATGTTACATTGTTGTCGTCGAGCCCAATTTACGTTTCCACACTTACTGCACTGCCAATCATCAGCACTAAAAAATTGTTTATTTGCTCTGTATCTAGTATTTACTTATTGTACATATTTTATAAGAATACTAGATATATTGAAGTTAAAGAAAGATATACAATATATTGTATAACTCTGTATATTATTAAAATCAAAATATCAATTTAAATAAAACTGATTAAATTAAAATTTTTACTATATTATTTCTGAATATTATTTTTAAAATATTTATTTCATGTATAAAATAATTTATGGATAATGTCTTTTTGTATTATATTTTTATTATTTTTATTATTTACCTAAACAAACCTCTACTTTTTTCTGCAGCTGCTTTGCCAATTTCTTGTCCTAATTTTTTTTTCTTAGGACATTCTCCCCTGTCTGAATAAAAATATCTTGTTAATTATTATATGAAATATTTTATGTATTCTATAATATTGATAAAGCAATACTAAAATTACAGAGATATATAATTCATGAAACATCATTTTAAAGAAAATTATATACAAATTATATATTACCATATCAATTTTTATATACCTTTTCCACATCGATTACAAGAATTTCTCCTTGCAAAATTTACATTGGCACATCTGAAATGTTAAACACTATCAAACATCTCATATATCATTAAATTTATATAACTTTATCTATTTTCACATTAACATTTAATAGATTTACACTAATATCTTAAAATCTAAAAATTATATGAATAATCTTTTTAAATTAAACATTTTGTTTTATTTTCTTTATCAAATATTATAAAGTATAAATATAATATAAATAATAAAAATAAACTATTAGTATAATTGATATATTAATTATATATTCATTAAATTTAATTAAATAAATAATACATTTATTCATATTATTCATTTATTCTTTTTTTAATTAATATTTTTACTAAAATTTTTAAAAAATAACATTATATACCAAATGCATGATTTATAATAAAATTTATGCTTATATAGTTAATTGTGTTACTAATTAAAATAAATATTATGATTGAATATAAAATTCAAATATAAAACGAAAGGCTGATTTTATATAAGATAATGTTGTCTTTAAAAAAAATCTACGTACTGAGAATCGGGACAAATCCAATCCCCATCATTAATATTACGTTGATTTTCATCCTCCACTTTATTATTATCCATTTTGCACTTGGCTATATTCTCTGTATGTAAGCCTGAGAGCTAATTTATCAAAGTTGCATGAAACTTTGCGGTTGGTTGTTCTTTAATAATTGTACCTAACCTTTATAATTCGTTTTTTACTCTTATATTGTTTAAATTATATGAAAAGAATCAACTTTTCTCAGATTTTATGAATGTATAACTTATTAAAACACGTTCTACGCGCTACTATCTATTGCATTGTATCGTAGATATAAATTAATGCACCGAAACTATGGAGTGCAACACACTAATGCAACATTAACGGCACAATCATACTACTTACGAAGCGATAAGCCGTAACGTGGCGATCTCAAAAATTTGATCATGGAGTACTTTTTATTTGGTTGATAAAAAACACAACAATAAAGATAACCATTAATTGACATTGATTAATTCTATTTTTTCATATAATTATTATAATCAAATATTTAACGTATGTAAATTGTATTCATTATAGTATGTTTTTAATTGTTCACTAGTCACAATAATGTATTAATTTATTAAATAGAATAAGAGCAAAAAATATTTTAATTGAAAATATTTAAAAAGAAATTATATATATATGTATATATATAATAAAAATTGTATCTTTTATATATATATATGTATATATATGTAAAGTACGCAAATTGAATTACATGATACACATCATAAATTGCAAAAATTATATATTATCATAATGAACATAGGCACATAAGATATAACATTTTTAATCGAATATTTTTAATGCATTTAAATATTTTGATTATAAAAATTTTTATCTTTCAATTTTCATTATTTAATTATTAAATTATTATAATTAATAAGATCAAATATATTGAAAAATTGAATTGAACTCATTATATTTTTAAATTAATTCTTAATTTTGTTTCGAATACTTCGTTTCATTAAATTTATTAAAATTTGTTCAAACTCATTAAATTTATTAAAATATATGAAATATTTATTTATAAATATTATATAATATATTTTGTATTAAAATATAATATAGAAATGAGAATTTTTGACTAGAATATAATCGTTAATTTTTTTATAAATATATGTAATATAGTTTTTAAATTTTAATAAAATAAATTGTAATTATTTTAATTACTAGTTATTTATTTAAATAGTAAGATTTTTTAAATATTTTTTTTTAATAAATTTAAGAAAATTGTTAACGGTATAATATCTAATTTTTACATATGCGTATTATACACATATATGTTCTATGCCGCTTATTTTATATAAAATGTTAAATACAGATTTGCCATTATAGGCAAATCGAGACAAAATGGTCGACAATGATGTAAAAAAGGATAGTATCAGTATTACTATATTATATATATGATTAGTATATTTTTTTTTATAGAATTTGAAAGATTTAAAAGGAAAGTAGTAGGAAAAAAGAAAAACGGTTATGACTTATAACTCAGTAATGGCGTTTTTAATGAGTTAAGTACTAGAAATAATATAGATAATATAGATGAAATGCTTATAATGAAATCACGAAGATGGTAAAAAAAAGAAAAAATCGCTTGTTAAGAGATGATAAATTTTTGATAAAATTCCAAATAAAATTATGTGATTATAAGATGAGATTTATCACATATTATAATGTGACGTATTATAATAATTTCTTTATCGAAATTATAATATATATGCATTGCTTTCTTATTTTTTTATTTTACATCGTTACCAGCCATTTTGTTCCGCAACTTTGATAGAGTTGAATATCTACATTGCATAGTAGGAAATACTCAACGTCTGATTGAGGTTAATGTTTTTTTCAAAGTGAAATATATGTATGAATAATCCAGTATTTTTGACAAAATACTATTTGATAATTATTGATAAATATAATTATGGCGTACGTATTTTGATTTACAAAATCCTCAAAAAGATAACATAAAAAAAAGATCGTAGATATAAACTATTATGATTCTGAAACGTGTATACAGTTTTCTATAAACATATGTTTTTGTAAAGATTATGATTCAATTTGATAACTAATAATGAGAATTTTAATTTGTTGCAGGTCTAAAGTTACTTTTAAAATAACTCTGACATCTGATCCGAAACTTCCTTTTAAAGTGTAAGTTTATGATGTGATTTATTATTTCATTAAAATTTTAAAACATTTTATGTCTACATTAAATAATATGAACATGTCAGAGCTTGATTTTCTCGAAATATTGAAAATGTTTAATGCGTTTCTTGTATTCATAGAGAATCCAAATGTTTACGAAGAAATAAACACTGAAAATGTTATAAAAATTTTTCAATGTGCACAATTTATTGAAATTACAATTGCTAAAGCATATGAAATAGGCAAAGAAAATGTACTTGATAATAATCTTCACAGTCATTGGTTGAAAGAAGGTAGATCAAGTTTATATAAATGTTCTGAATTGAAATATGCCTGTGATAAATTATTAGAAATATATTTGAAAGATACTAATATTTCAACTGATATTATAGATGAATTTTTAAAATTGTACATTGAATATTGTGGCAGTGATAGATTCAATAATTTTCTTAAACATGTATTAATTAATGGAATATGTACAAATATAATTATAGAATCTTTTGAAAAATTGGACATTTCTGCTTCAAATATACAAGATGAAGCTTTAATTATGTCTTGGGAATTTTTAATTGGCAATAGTAATGAATATGAAGTTTTACAATGTATTCATAAAATGTTTGATGATGGTTTTTATTCAAAACTAATTCAATTTGCTGGTAACTTAGATAACAACAATAAAATTAAACAAATAATAGTTCAACTATTATCAAACAAGCTTATTCAAAATGATGCAAATCTTTGCTTAATTTTTATAAATATAAAACAAACATTACTTTGGAATTTTATGCAAAAAAATCCAGAGCTTTATACAAATTTTCTTGATAGTATATTTTATTTTGCACGTCATATGAAACAGATTGAAAATCATTGGATATCAAACTACGAATTTAAATATGAACATCTTGTCAAAATAGTAGAAATATTATTAAATGGTCCTACAGAAATTTCAGACATAATATACAACAGAATGAAATTAGTAAAAACACATCCCAATGGTATAATATGGCAAAAAATTGAAAAAGATATTGGATGGTAATAGCACAATCTTTGTATAATCATTAAAGAAAAATGAGAGTTCATATAAAATTACATTGATTATTTTTTATTTATATTATTTTATTTATTATTTATATAAACTCTCATTTTTTAAAGTCAATATTTAATTTAATTTTTAAATTAAATTAGATTTTTAAAGATTATATAAGCATTATATATTTATAATTACAGACTTAGTGTACCAGATAATACTCCGTTTACTGCTGTATTAAAATTTGCTGCAGAAGAATTCAAAGTATCTCCATCAACATCTGCAATAATCACAGATGATGGAATAGGTATCAATCCGCAACAAACAGCAGGTAAATTTTTTATATTATAGAAAAATATAGGAAATGTTTCAAATATTTATTAAAAATTAATATTAAAAATTAATTAATATAATTAATTTCAGGAAACGTTTTTCTTAAACATGGATCTGAATTAAGATTAATTCCTAGAGATCGAGTTGGATATGGTAGATAATTTGCACAAGTTTTAATAAAAATTCATTGTTTATAATATTTTTATTTATATGTGAATTATTTCTTTGTTACATTTTTCATTAACAGAAAAAACAAATTATTTTTTCATATAAAATTTAAATAAAACTTTGATTAATTCCTTAAGTTTTATAAATTGTATTGTTCAATGGAATTGTATTAATAATTTTTATAAATTATAAATATCCATAATTTTTTATTTTAAAATTAAATCACAAATAATACGAAGGTAAATTTATAAAAACACATTAGATACATATATTTGATAAAAAGATTTTATAAGTGAAATACATGTAAGAGGTATAAGGTCGATACAAAGGTATATTACTACATGATAAAATTACTTAGCGATCAGTCATAGCGCAATATTACCAAGAAACTTCCTGTTGCAATCAAAATAATTTTTCAGAATAAGAATTCGCAGTTAACAAAAATTCGTATTAATCATTGAACAATTATCAAAATTAACAATGATACGATAATTTTATCCATTTATTGTAATTTTATTATATCTATTGTTTTATTTTAAAATATTACAAAAAAAATTTAGAAATTTAAAAAATTTTAAAAAATAATTTTTCGAGACATTGTTTTTACATAATTTTTGTATATATATTCTAATTTAATCGTATACATATTCTAATTTATTTATCAAATAGAAATTTAAAAAGTATAATAGTAAAGAAAAATATGGTTAATAAAACATGCAACAATGATGTTTCTTAGTTTTAGAATATTTGATTATTTATAATTATTTAACATACAAATGTGAATTACGCGGACGATTAGCTGTTATATATTTTTTTCAGCAAAGTATTATTTTGTTTTTCTTCACTTTTTTTTCACTTCGATATTTATAAAAGTTTTATTATTACTTTTGATCTACGAAAGAAAACATTATGTTTCTAAAAATGGTATAAATATATGTAATACATATGTAAGAAATGCAGAGAAAAATATATTTTTTTTAAATGCTTAATATATTTAGTTCATTATAAAGAACTTAATTCATGTATTTTTTTCTTTCTTTTAATTCTTGTATGAAACTTTTGGCACCTATTCAATTTCTTGAGAGTGATAATTTTATTTATAATTTATTCTTATGCGATAAAATACAAAATTGGAATGTTATTTGTTTTTAAACCATTGAGCAAAATGAATAATGATCATGTTTTTTATCAATTTTATTATTGTATTTATGACAACTATAGACTAAAATTTGTCGAAATAACACAGCACCATCAGATTTATTTTTTTTTTATATACGATTATTAAATTATCGGTAATATAAAATTAATATAAAAGTATAAAATGTGCGTGATTATATATGGAAGCGTAAATTCCATGTTTGCTTGTAGACATATTTAAAAATTATTACAAATGGAGGGATCTTTATCTTTATCTTTATTTATACAAAATTGTTTATATAAAAGTTTCAATCACATGAATAGGAACGCTATTATATTTTTTCTAGTTATGAGAAACTATCATTAAAGATGATTATATCATTTTAGTGTGATAAAAAATGGTTTATTTAATGGAGAATATATTTAAAATTGTAAACGAATATATTTTATAAAAATGATAAATTATTTTATTTATTCTCTTAATTTATTATTTAATATTAGACTATTAAAAAATACAAAGTCAGTATATATTATATAGAGAAAATAGGCATTTTTATATTTTTTATAATCTAAAACTTTTTTTTTGATTACCAATAAATATGGAATTTACGCTTTTACGTTTTAATCATATATGCATAATGAATTGGAAAATTATTTTCAAGTACAATACAGTTCGAATCTTTGATCGTGATCTTTTTTTTTTATAAATATTTTGTTGAAATTGAAAATATATAAAAATTAATTTATTAGTTATATTCAATAGAATCATTGAATAATTTATTATTACCGAGTATATATTTTGCTGTAAATATTGATTTACTTAAATGACGATTTACTAATATGTAATTTTTCTATTATTTATCTTTGTGCGTGTGTGTATTATGATATTCTGTAAAAATTTTTGACCTTCGATTTATGAAAAAAATTTGTATCGTTCGCTAGTATCACACGTATGATGATTACATTATAATAGCATATGTACTAAGAATATTATTCATAATATTAAATAAAAAAAAATACGATACATTTATATTATATAAATCATATATAATTTTTTCAAAACTAATAATTATATGAATTATTATGTATTGTTATATTTAACAAAAGAAAAGAACAGTGTTGAATAATATTAATTTATAATTGTTTAGAAATATTAAACAATTTTTCAAACAATATTTATTCAAATGATTTTGATTTTAACAAATATGATTTTATATGTCTATGTTACAAAAAATTATTAAAAATAATTAGTGAAAGAAATTAAAAATTTATTTATGCATTATGCAATACTTGTTTCTAATTAATACACTGAACTTTTCTATATTTCCAGACATTATAATTTATAAATAGCATATTTTTAAATTTTAAAAATAAAAAAAAAATTATAGTAGATTTATTTTCACAAAAATATATTTTGAAATAATATTGATGATTTCAAAATCGTAAAAATAATTAAAACTATTGTCAAATTCTGATAAATTTTGATGAATAATTATAAATCTAAATTTTTAATGTATTCTTATAATATTTATTTTATGCATTTATCTTTAATATTAAAATTATAAAATGACAATTAATAGAAATTATTTATAAAAAGGATTACAAATTTTTTACAAGAATTTTTACTGAATTATAAGAATTAAATCACAAAAATAATGTTAACAAAGTTGAAAATATTTTAATATTCAGTCCCTTATATTTTTTAAATTAAATTTATATGATAAATCCAAAAAAGAAAATAAAAAAGAAGTAAAAAAATTTTTTGAAACTATTATTGCAATTATAAATATCTCTCAACATGTATGATATTAATTATTGAAATATTTTTGCTTATATTATGATTTTTAACTTACAAATAAGTTATGTTTCAAACAGCTATATTTAAATTTATTTCATCTTACCTTTTATTTTTATATGATTATTTACCTATCGGTACCAATTTTCACTCATCCTGTAATTAAAATAATTAAATCATAAATATATGATATATGAATATGATATTATATTCATATATAAATATATAAATGTATGAAGATTATATATATTTGAAATTATTTATAAAAATTATTTTATTTACCCACCCATTCGTGTTCCTCTACACCTTCCATATGATCTTGTTCCAAGGAGCACTGTATTACATCGCCCACAAAGTTACTCATAGTTTTTTGGATCTATCATATACATATTAATACAAATTTTACTTCTAATAATTTTTTGTTATTTACAATAAAAATTATTAGAAAATGAATGATAATTATTTGTAATTGAAATGAGATTTTTATATTTAATAACAATATTATAGATGCTTTTTATAATAATACTATAAGTGCATTTCATTTATACTGAATTATTTTTGAATATTTAAATACCTCTTCTTGTTTAGCTTTCACATCAGGATTCCATCCTAGTCTATTAAAAGATTGAGTAGATACAGAAAATGGTGTTGTTGATTGTTGCTTTACTACAATAGGTGCTGTAACTATTCCTTGGCCTTGATTTTCAGTTACTATACATAAAACACAAATACTTATAACATTAAAAAAAAAAATTATTAATTTTTACTTACAGTTGTCCATGCCAGGTGGTTTTAGACTTATTCTATAAGCTTGCTTGTTAGCACCATTAAACCATTCAGTAGCAGTCATAGTTGGTTTCCATGTAATTTTAGTTGGTGGAAATAAATCATCTTGGAAAAGTTCACTCTGAAAGATAATTAAAATTAATTAATTTATTTTTTTTTTTTAGAAGTTTTAATTTTATATCAAATTTACCTTTATACGCGGAACAGTAAAACTCAAGGGTTCTATTGTATTATTTGTTAATCTTAAAGCTGATGCAAATTCTACACTAGCAACATCGCATTTATTCTTAGGAAGAAACGATAAACCTTGATGCAAAGTACTACATCGATGATGACTAAGTGGACAACAATATGGAGGTTCTTCTGTTACTTCAAAAGCGTATATTGTAGAATCACCCTGTAAATATATTTTTTATGAAAAAACATTTTTTATTATATTTCAAATAACTTAATAAGAAATGATATTCTTACACGTCCTGTTAAGAAAAGTGTAGAACTATCTTCATCATAATATGGCATTAAAATTGCAGGCGACACATCTAATCCAACTGTTGTTAATGATGTATTAAGATTATCCGTTTTAAAAACATATATTTGCCTTTCTGAAACTCTAAAAAAAAAAAAATATAGATAGTAAAAAATTATTGTTTAATGATTATAAAAAATTTTATAAGTACTTAATGCTGTATGTACTTGTCAAAACCTAATACAACAAGAAATTGTCCCTTCAATGCCCATATAACTCGTGCACCTCTAGTACCAACAGGTCCTTTCCCAGTTTTAACTGGTACATCGTTAGATCTTGGTTTGTAAATTCGTAATTTCCCATCTTTACATGTACTTGCAAGATATTGACCACATGGTGACCATGCAAGACTAAAAATTTGATCGGTATGACACATTAGTGTTATTTTCGCAACTGCTGTATCACAAGATGACAAAAGCGTCAAATCCCAAATTTTCACAGTCATATCATAAGATGCTGATGCAAGAACATCTGATGCTAGTGGATGAAATTTAATTAAATATATTTTATCAGTATGAGCCTTTATGATATATTTTGGTTCGTTTGTTGGTTCTGATAATCCAGATTCTGGTATTTCCCATAATCGAATC